TTAGTCATTACTTTTATTTCACATTCCATGGTTTGTGGTTTTTAACTCCAGGCAATCTGATTTATATACAGAATTTATGTGCAGAGGAAGAATAAACACTGCACACTGTGTATTAAAGGGCTGATTCTGGTAGGATGCCAAGAGAGAAGAAAAGGTAGAGTGGGTGGATATTTTGGGTCTTTTTACCAGGTACTCATTTTTACAGACATTGCAGTACACTTAGTACTCTGTCACAAGGCCCCACACAGCTAGCTAGTGTTATAGGTCCAAGGGCAAATGTTTAATTCATGAATACAGCATTGGCTATGTATGCCAGTGGATTAAACAGGAGTTTTGTCCTTTGTTTCTCAGCTCCAAGGTTTATTTGAGACAAGTCACCTTTTTCTCAGCTACTGTTTTTATATATCTTTTTCACTGATGTACTCAAAAGGCCTTCGAATACTGCAGGCAGGAACATTGTGTTGTATTATACAGTCTAATTAGAAATTTTTAATTCATTAATGCTGCATTGCACAGACTTCCTGTAATTTGAGGCATTTTGAAGTAAAAGAAGACAATCTCATTAAGTACTTTTCTTCTAACCCAATAGCATTATTTTTACTCAAAGTGAGCTTTTGTATAATTTTTAGCATCCTAGCACCTGAATATCTTCCAGTCCTCCTATTCATATTTTTCTCCATTTTGCTATAGGAAGCTGAGTCACAGATTGTACCAAATGTGCCTATGGTAATGCAGGATGTTAATGCTGAAACAGGAACTGAATTCAACTGTTGTTGCTGCCCTGTAGCCCAAAGGCTCTTCCTCTGTGTGTCATGCAACTGTGCTGATGGTTCCAGTGCTAATCACTTCTGACACCAGGCACAAGCGCTCTGTGACTGCCTCATGGCTCCAAGCACAGCAGCAACAAATCATGTCTGCTGGAGAGCTAGAAATGATTAGTGCAAGACTCTTGAGACTGTGGCCATTTCTCCCTCTCTGGTTTCTCTTGTTATAATATTGATGTTCCTTAAGCTAGAAACGCATTTGTTTTAACTTCACTATCCTTATCTTCCTGATTGTGAAACAGAGAGGAAGGAAGCAAAATTATCAGCTGTAAGGAGAAAAAAGAGAAGGCAGGAATTTGTGGTAAAATTAAAAGTGAAGTTTTGTAAAATCATCTTTACTTTCTTCCTCCCTTTTTCTTTACCCTCTGCTTAAATAACACTTTGTATATGTGTGTAAGTCAGCACCCTAAAGCTATTATAAAGCACAGATATATGTATTCTGATCCTTAATGCTGGGTACATGTGTCTAAAAACAGTAACCCTAGTGTCTTCTATTTTTATACACAGTCATAGCTCCCACTGGTGCACAAGTTGCATGTTAAGGCCAATTTAGAAGGCTTTACTGAGGCAAGATGTAGGGTTTAACTGAATAAAAGCTATACAGGAACTCATGTTAGCCATTAACAGAAAACAATAAACATATAGGGATGTCTGGATTCTTAAAGGAAAGTTGCTTCCATACTAGATGCACACAGAAGAAGGTGGTTACTTGATGCATTTTTGTTAAAAAGGCTATAGTAGCTTCAGCCTGGAATACATGCATTTTTTGGAAATGGCCACAGAATTAAGATAGGCAATGCACTTAAGTTTGTTTGCACTGCCCATACCAGGGCTGTATCAGGACCAAAATGTATGAAACATAAGAGAGGGAATGAAATTAAAGTCTTCTCAATACTCCTATTGAAACCAAATACTTCATTTGATCTTTTCATAACAGGTATTTGATGGTCCTAGTGTTGAAGCACCACTTCTTAGAAAACTCTGTGGAACACAGCATCCTCCTCCTATCACATCCTCCAAGAACCTAATGTACATCCGACTACGCTCTAATACAACCATCCAGCACAGGGGCTTCAGTGCTCACTTTACTGAAGGTAATTTCATAATGTACATTAATGCATATTTATCTAATTACCAGTTTGTATTAGACGCAATCTTTTAGCACAGCTGATAACGGGAAGTGTTTTTTCTATACATGCAGCATACCAGTGCGTATCTTTAACAGGACTGAAGTTTTCCAAATTATAGGTTAAATAATTTAAAATCTAAGGATCATCTTAGATTCTTTGATTAGGGAAAAAATGTACTTTTTATAGCAAGGCATCTAGCATATATTATCTGCCTCTTATTCCTCCTCCTTAGAGGGTTAGCTACCCATAAATGTCCTGAGAAAAATATGCAACTGGCATTTTCCACAGACCTAGTGGCAAAACAACATTTTAGATGTCTATCCATGCACATGAATCGGAAAAGCTATAAAAGAATTCTGTGCAGTGCTGTTGATGAAGTCCATGGATTCAGGCCTGCAAACCCTGCCAAACATCAACTATCCAATTTGTGGAGGACTAATTGGTATTTTACATGGTTTCCTTTTTAATGAAAAATTACACCAACTGGGCAGAATTTTTCATGAAATTACGTACTATTTGACAATTGGGGATTTTCTTTTGTTTTTTTCCTTTCACAATAACTTTGTAAACATCTTTTCCCCAAGATACAGCCATTTAGTTTTTGCAGAGAAAATCCTCTCTCTCATTTTCTCCTTAGTAGCTTTTCACTATAAATTAGTACTGTTGCCATAAATGTTTTTTTCTTTGAAAATATTGTGAAAAATTATAAAGAAAAGGAGGAATTTGCGTCAGCAAAAACCTTAGGAACCTCAGTTCTTGAGGTACTAGTATGATACCTAATTATGTATTGCTGACTAACAACTACAAAACCTGGTCTGTTAAACATTCTCAGAGCACATTTACTGGATTAGGCCCTGCACAAAACATACCTGGAGAGCAAGTGCTCCCTGCCTAGGATGTAGGCAATCCAGCTTCCCTTTTCCTGAGAAAACCCTGTAAGTCCCATCTCCTGATGGATGTTTTAAGCAGCACGGCATGGTAGCTGAATCTCAGCCTTTGGTAACTCCCCACCCTGCTGTTTAAAGCAGCTGTGTGTTAAATCTGGGGGGTTTCACTTAGAAATGTTTAGAAATGAGGCACAGCAGCACTCAGCACTGATAGCCAAAGTTATAGAATCACAGAATCACAGAATCA